TGAAATTAAGGAAGACAATAACTTTAGAAAACTCCCTAGGAATACACCACACATTCAACACTCAAACTTAGTTAATTTCTCTCCACATAACACTACCAAACATACAAAAATCTCCCAAATGTATAGGCAATCTAGGTTTAGGCAACCTGTTATAGTCATATGATTAAATGACTACAAGTAGATAAGGGCTTGGGCAGCCTTGTTATAGTCAATATTAGAAGATAACAGCATCTTCATAATGTGAATGGTTAGATAGACTGGTCCATTGTGAATGGTTGAGATTTCATAATTGTATTTTATCTAAGCTATTGATATAATAACTTTGTATGAAAATTGCGTTTTTAAGGATGAAATTGTAGGCTTTAGATCCATTGCCCTTAAATAGTTTTTATATACCTTTTGATTATATGCTTTAATTTTCATGATGTTAATATATCATAACCTTATTGGTGTTCTATAGCCTAACATGGGTTCACATATGTCTTTGTTTACAAGGTTGCTATGTTTGCATTATTATAGGTTATTGTGAAGGAGACAGTAAGTTTACTTTCTTTTTAATATGATATTTATGAGATAGTACATTTATTTTTGTAACTTGAAGAGCCTTGCAAGACCTTAGCCAATCATAATAAGATTTTCCTTATAAAACAAGGTTGAAGCCATAAAGAAGACAAATGGCATGCTTTTCTCAAAAGAGGTTTTGTTTATTCCATACTTTTCAATTTAATCCTTCAATTTTTTTGCCAATCTGTTCCCATTCTCTTTCATGGTGAAGTTTAATGTAAGTTTTCATAACTTGGATAACTTACTTTCATTAAACAATTATAACTCTGAAAATTATTGCATCTGAACGTGTTCTGCGCAAATGGCTTGTTCAACTCCTAATGGCTCTTTACTAGTTGCACTTATTTATATTCCCCAAGTTGTTTTCTACTAATAATATTTTGTTTCTTTTCTCCAGTGTTTGAACAACTTCATGACAAAAGATCAAGATCAAGATCAAGACATATGTCTGTATGTATTACCAGATGCTTGAATGAGATTTTTAACGTATATATTGTATTTTTTGTTTTTTTGGTTAATTAGAATTCATAAATAATTTTGTAAAATATTATTATATTCTTTTATAAATGAAATAGTGAATGTTGTTTATTAATTTTTTTCTATTTATGTATATCTTAATATTCATTTAATTATCTTAAAAACAAATTTAAAAATTAGAATAAAATGACAAAAATTATAAATAAAATATAATTAAATATTATTTAAAAAAGTATTACTAACGGAAATATTAACTATTACCATTGAAATTTTAACTATTATCAAAGGATTTTTTTGCAAAATTATAAATTAATTTTGAAAAAAAATTATTAACTTAATATACCAATGGAAAAAAAATTATTACCAACAAAAAATTATGTTAGTAAATAAAAATTAGGTTACTAATTTACAGTTGAAATTTTAAAATATCGATAGAATTATATTATCGATCATGATAACACCAACAAAATTTTTTTATCGATAAATCCATTGATAATATTATTATTGATGAAAAATGAAATATTACTGACGAAATATTTTATCGATAATATTTCATTTTCTGATAATAACATTTTAACTACAAATTAAAAAATCCTGAATACGATTTATATGTTGTTTATATATATATAAACATATATACCCTATATATCTTAATATTCATTTAATTATTTTAAAAACAAATTTAAAAATTAGAATAAAATGACAAAAATTATAAATAAAATATAATTAAATATTATTTAAAAAAGTATTACTAACGGAAATATTAACTATTACCATCGAAATTTTAACTATAATCAAAGGAATTTTTGGCAAAATTATAAATTAATTTTGAAAAAAATTTATTAACTTAATATATTGATAGAAAAAATATTATTACCAACAAAAAATTATGTTAGTAAATAAAAATTTTGATACTAATTTATTGATGAAATTTTATAATATCGATAGAATTATATTATCGATCATGATAACACCAACAAAATTTTTTTTCGATAAATCCATAGATAATATTATTATTGATGAAAAATGAAATATTACTGTCGAAATTTTTTATCGATAATATTTCATTTTCTGATAATAACATTTTAACTACAAATTTAAAAATCCTGAATACGATTTATATGTTGCTTATATATTTATATATATATATGTATATATATATCCTTTATATATATAAATATATATATATATACCCTATATATGTCGTAAATTTAAATTTTTTTTCTTACAATATCTACTTAATTATTAAATTTAACGTTTTACTTTGAAAAATGTCTTGAATAATATAAATTTAAAAATTATCTTACAGACATCAAGATAGGCTGTTAACATAGGCATTCATATGCGATGCATGGGACATTAAAATATTTATGAAATTTGAATATAATTAAATTAATAATTTAGAAATTATAATTAAAAATGCTTTAAAATAACAATTTAAAAAATCATTTGACATATATATTCAAATTATTGTTTAATTTTTTTAATATAACAAAAGAATTTATTTTAAATATTATTTAATCTTAATATTACGTTGCATTCTTATACAAATCTATTATATCAGAAAACAATAAAATATTTAAAAATAGGTTAATATTATTTTAAAAAGGTAAAAATCAACAACATGCATGAATATTAGATACCTCATATTTTAAGTGAATAATCACTGTTTTAGTTAAATATTCTTTCTATTATTATTTTTATGACAATTGTGTTAAACAAAAAGATAATTAAATGCACATCTTACATGATGACAAAATATTAATTTAAGTACATGTAACAATTGTATAAATATAACATCCATGACGACTTTTGAAATATTATATTTTGGTGTAACCTCAATATTTTTGTTAAATTAAACCTCATAAAATCATAATTTCATCTTAATATTGCACCTTCCATATTTGATAGAGTTAAGGTGTTTGTTAATGTAATTAATTAATTTTTTGAATTCCTTGCAAGATAATATTATAGTTGTATATTTATTGGATATGAATATTTTATTAATTAACAATGTGCATCAATCTTTGAGGCTAATATTCTCTAAGTAATTTAATCTTTAGTAAGTTTATTATAGTGCATGAGATTAAATTTTTCTTAGTGTAAAATTAATATACTTTAGTTTTGTATTAATTCATGTTCAAGAATTAAAGACACAGGGAGAGCTTATTTTATCGTTAAAATAATAATAAAATCTCTAAACTTTATCATTTTATTTAAATAAACTCCCATATTTTTATTACACCCAAATAAAATCTTTATATTTTAAGTTGTATTCCAATAAACCATTAGTGTTTAATTTGTACTCAAAAAAATTCTTAAGATAAATCAATATTTTGTTAAAAACAAAAACTTACTTAAATACAAATTAAAAAATTATTTCTCATTTGAGTATAATAAAAATATAAGAGTTTATTTAAATAAAGTGATAGAATTTAATAGTATTTTAACCATTTTAAAGCAAATAATATGTTCCATTTTGAGTTTAAAATAAATAGAAAATATTAGTAAGAACTAAAAACTTAGGAAAATAAAAAATCTATTCTCTAACAATTTTCAATAGTAAACCTGATTTAAGGTTCTACCTAGCTACCAAGCATTAAAATTGATTCTATAAAGATATATGAATATAAAAATGATTAAAAATTATTATTTACTTTTGAAATATCTTACAAATAAAATATTATCTTTAAACTAATGGAGAAAAAAGAAAAATGTGTATGGTTTCAAATTAGTTAGAAAGATTGTACAGCAAATCAAATTTACTAATCAAAACAAATTTAAGTTTATATTAATTTAAAAAGATTGTCTTTCTATTCTATTTTGACTTTGAAAATTTGAATAATATTAAATCTTTCCAAATTTTGAATAAAAAATATTTTTTATTTTTATTTAAATTTATTTTTTATAAGATAAAAAATATAAATTATCTAGGTAATTGCTTAGCTAATTGCTTTATCATAACCAGCTACGTATTGGTCTCGTTCAATGTCACGTGCATCCACCAAAAGTAACTGACTTTTTCACTTTTTTTGACCATGAAAGAGATAAATATTATAAGAAGTATATCATAAGCGTCAATTGTAACAAACTGAGCTTTAAAGAGATATCAAACTGAAGCTCAAAATCTCAGCAAAAACGTTCTACTTATGGTGGAGTAGGTAATGTATTAAACCATCTCTGCTTAGAATGAAAACCAAGGAGAATGGACTTGTCTGTGTTATAACACGGGATTGGAAAAAGGTGAGAAATTGATATTTCAAGGTCATTTTTCTCAAGATTTTATTTGCACCACCGCTTATATGATTGATGTGTAAAGGGTTTTAACCGATAAATCTCAAAAATATAATAAAATTCAGTAATCGATTATATTCTGCATTAAAATTAATTCATTGGATGAGTAATTCACTAACGAACATAATTATTTGATTTTGGTTACAAAAACCGTTAAAGTCATTTTTTTTTTTTTAAATTAACTTTCTTCAACGCTTTTTATTTATTTTGTTTTGGTTTAAATAGGTTTCTTTTAAGTTTTAAGAGACAATTTGCGAAACCTTTCGTCCTCAGTTCATCAGTCATCACATTTACATGGGACTTTGTCTGGACCAACCATTATGGCACATCCTTGATGTTATGATTGAGCAGCGACCCAATCTGTAAAGTAACCAATTTAGTTAATAAGAAGTAAATAAATGTCAACCGTATGGGCTGCTTGCTTTGCATTTACAAGGAAGTTCACCAAAAACACCAGAGAAACAAAGGGCTCTATAATTCAATATTTAGCCATTGCCATTTTTATATAATATATGTGAATGGAAGGGGAGATCGATTAAAAAAAAAAAAAAGGTGAAATATTTTGAACTTTGTAATTGTTACATTGAAAGATTGAAGCTGGAAAGCAAAACCATGTTTACTTTGCACACAACCAGATAGATAATTTTCTAGAAAACATGCATATTTTAATATTTGAGATGGACGGTGATCCTCAGCAATGTCTCAGCACCATCAGTGACATGTTGACCAGGTGGTATAAGTGGTCGAACCTCAGCAAGTCCACAAGCATTCTTAAACTTTCCTGTTCCACCAATGACGGATATGTGCGACATGGTGCTTCCAATCTTGTACACTCCGTAGAAGTTGAGGTTGTCGTTGTATTCACCGCCTTCAATCATGGCTGTGAATGCCATCATTTGGGTTGTTCCATCTGCAGAGCTAGCCACATAAACTCCTTGAGCTTTCCCTATTGCCTGTGACCCCAAATCAGGGTTGGCAGTGAGTATGTCATCGATAACTGTGATTGTTCCGAAGCCTAGTCCCAAACCATCTGGTCCTAGAGGGATCTGAGGCTTACCATTTTGGTTTTGATTGCCGGCGAAAGCTGTGCCAGCTAAGCCAGTTCCCAATGGGAGACCATTGATGCCATTGACTGAGGGAATAGCACCATTATCATTGGGGATTGCAACTCCACCTTGTGGGGGGATGAATCCCACTGGTTTAGCAAAAGGTACCTGACCACTTTAGATGTTTCCAAGTAATCCAGTTATTGGCCTTGCTGTGGGACTACTTCCCCCAAGGATATCATGCATGTAGAACTCAAGGATGGGTTCTTCTGCTGTTGCTGCTACTGGGTCGCCTGCTGCCAAATATGTCCCCATGTAGACTGTTGCAATTTGCATTGTAATGAAAAGTAGAGATTGTTGCTTGAACATTTAGTAGTGTGAGAGTCTTTTTTTTTATTCTCTAATGAATAGCTGGAGTAAGGCTTTTTTGATTAATATGCCAGACGTTATAAAACTTGCTCCTTAAATACAGAGGATAAGCATTAGGCTATGGAGTTGTTGGAAGATTTTGGGGTGGTGAAGTTGTTGGTGTTAACATTGTTATGGGAGATAGTCATCCTGTTTTTGGTGTATTAGTTAACATTTCCATTTAATAAAAAAAACCCACTACCAACAATGGTGTGCAGAAGTTTATAGGTAAAATGTAATAGATTTCCCTCCACCTGTTTTGCTAAAAAAAAAATAATAATCTGATTATCTGCACCTGTCCGAAAATTTCTATCATTTGATTGAAAAGAAGAGGCAAACTGTTTCATTGACTTCCATTTTGACTTCCCAACAGCGATTCCTGATTGTTTGTACAGATACTGAAAGTTTAAATGGGCGCAAATATTTTCAGTTAAACATCAGTAATTAAAAAGAATTTATATTCCGGTATGTTCCATTAATCGTTTATTTTTCTGGCACTCAAGCCTCAATGTAAGGCCCGCCCATTCAGCACGTTGATTATTATCAATCTTACTGTTTTTCAGTTGAAGAAAATGTATTGGTGTTTCATTGCCACTGCTCATTGGTCTTTCTGAACTTATCATAGGAGCAACTTTCCTCTTATCTGAAACATATTTTGGTGGCTATTGAAGCCCCAAACAGTCATCTGCAATCTCTTTGAGACTTTACTTTTGACATCTGAACTTCAAGAATAAGTGTGAGTGTCTTGCCGTGAGGCTCATGCCAACCTTTGAGGAAGTTTCCTTCTGGCAATTGCTAGTTTTTTACAGTCAACTCAGGAAGCAAACCTATATAAATGCACCCAATGTTATGAAGAATAATGATAACAGGATGTCAGAAATATTCCAAATGGCACTGCATATATAATTTTATTGTGTATTGGAGGCTTTTACCCTGCATCATCTTTCATCTTAAGCATGGATTTGTTGGAAAAAAGGTCCTACAGTGTGGAGTAGTTGGCTGTAGTTGAACAAGTGGAGAAGAGAATGGTCACGAGACTTTTTAACTTTGGACCCTGTCTAACTTGGTTGTTATGAGATACGCTTCGACTTGAGCAGGTGGAAAACTCCATTTTCCATAACTACTATACCAATGCTTCCTTTAGTATCATATTAACGTAATAATCCAATACAAAGGAACCTTATCCATGCCTCAGATAAAAACAAGAGAAAATACTAGAAAATTTTTAGTAATAATCAGAGAAGAGTGGTATGCATTGAAAAAATTTCAATATTTCCAGACCATATATTTGGTCACATGCATGGAAATTACACCTATTCTGCTAATAAACCAATGTCAAGTACAATAAATGAATTGTTACTTTACAACAATCTTAGCACCAACTGGGCGCTTGATAAAAATTTGAGTGCTCCGAAAAAGATAAGGTTAACTCCATAGTGAGTATTGGAATAAGGGAAAAACGATTCATCACCAGCTGGTTCTTTCTTCTCCCATTTTATATATCTCGTTCATGGTAATTGACTCAGATCATTCTTCTAGACATTGCTGGGATTGAAACCTACTATCTGAAAGTAATTCAACAATTCGTTTTTCGAGCCTTCTTGCCCCTGGTCCAGGCCTCAAGATCTCAGCATCCCCCCAAACTGAACATGTGTCATTGCCTGGCTCACCTAAGCACCATCCGCCTGGTATGACTTTGCCCAGGCTGCGTTTTAAAATTTCCTGGTCAATAAGGTCAAGTACTGGATCATCCAACTGGAACTCTGTTGCAAAGGCAGCTCCACTCTGAATCATAGCATAAAATTCAGCAGAATTCATTGGGGGAGACTTCTTCGTAGAGGATTTGTTGAAGGCTATATACTGGAGGTTATGGTTTATCACTGTGTTCTTGAACTGATCAGAGTTACAAAGGACAGTAGGGAAATAATTTGTGTATGAGTAAGGTGTGTTAGCAAAATACATTAGCAAAGTCCTTGGAAGATTGTCTGTACCCAGGATGCAGAACTCAATGAAACTACGGCTTAACATTGTAAAAGATGAACCTGCAAAAGACCACATCTCTAGTTCTACATTCACAATTTCCATTTATATTGCCTGGCTATGCAGGCAGAAAAATTTCTTAACAAATAAAATGGCTCATACTATCTTTCTTTTTTTTTTTTTTTTGGATAATTGAATTCTGTTAATCGTCCAAAAGAAGCAGATAATTGCTACAAGATAACAAGGAAGGGTAATGCCAAACCAACATGAAGAGATCACCTAGCCATCGCACTAATCCATCATTTATCACAAAGGTCATCATACATAAACAAAAAAATGGCTCATACTATCTTGTATGACTAGAAAAATTATATAAAAACAAAGGAAGTAATCTCACTAGAGCTAACTGGTTGTTTCCAAGGCCATTATAAAGTAATCAACTGGGCATCTCTTGAAAGATGATGAAAACCAAATAGCACTTGCCAAAATGGTTGAATTTTATGCTGTAGCAATAGTCTAGAATAATGATCCTAGCAGATAAGTTCTACATGGGCATTTCATCAATAGTGACACTTTCCAAAGGGAAGGGGGATGCACAACCAACTTATTTTACCATTAATGCCGTACAAACATGCATCATTATGTAATCTCCTAAACAGTCTCATAACATTTTTCAATAGTCTTGCAAATGAATAGTTTTATCAGTTGAGTTACAAGGCAAGATGATAGCCAGGCTTTCTTTTAGAGCTGAAAGATTGCTTGTATCTGTAACTGACTCCAATCACAACCTGTGCCTAACAAATGCCTGGAATGTGCTTTTTTTCCTTTTTCTTTTTCCTTTTTAGTGAAGAAAATTGCAATTGGGCATTGAAATTAACAAACTTGAAAATGTATGATGGAACTAGTAGGTGAATAGCACATTATGCTATTTACCAGTGGATCCATCCTCACAGTTCTGCTAACAAAACTGCCTTTACTTTATGCACCTAGCTCAGGCCACACTACAAAAGTGTAGAAAAACCAATGATTTAAATGCATATGCATAGAAGAATCTTTTTGATTTATAAACAAGAATGTTGCCTGTGATATTACTTTAGCAGTCATAATACATTACACAAACCAAAGAATTGAGTTTATAAAATGGGAAGGAGGGTCTCTTTAAGTAACAAAATTAAAGGCCTCCAAATTATTCACATTACCTTTTAATTCCTTTGCCTTCTCCCTCTTTCACACTTTCTCTTAGCGGGTTAATTCCACAAAATTCCTGTTTCTTTCAAATAGGATGTATGCCACAGAAATTGCTAAGCTGGACCAAAGTTGCTTCCTACTATAGCTCTTTCTAACACCCCCCCTCCCCCCAACCCAACTTTTTTTCTCCAAACTATAGCCCATTATAAAGCAGTACTAAGATAAATGCATTCCATATGGAAAGTCTAACTCCTGCACGCATCCTCAATACCATGAGAAACCACCATTAACTTACCTAGTGGGATCCATAACTAACTTGATATTCTGAATTTAAATCCTCTCTCTTATTCACCAGATTGCTCTTCACTAAAAACAGCAGTGCAAAATTATACTCCTCAACATTGTAAGAACCAAAACAAGCAGCTCACACTTGATGGTTCTTTACATCTCCTCCAAGACCATAATTAGATGATAATTATAACACCAGACAGAGACGAGGAAAAGTTGGCTTCACTCTGATAGGTCCTTGAGAGTTACATGGTATCCTTCTAACACCTCTAGTAGAGGATATAAAGTATCATGCACTTAGTGCCTCTAAATCCATCAAGAAAAAGTACTATTATTGCCACATTCAACCTAACTATGCAATTTTATGATCTCACACAAAGATTAAAACCTATATATTCAAATCACATTCTTGATCACCTCTAATTTGCAGGTCCACTACTTTAACTCTAAGCTCTCTTTGTTTATTGTCTATTAATATCAACTAATGTGCATGATGCGAATGCATATCACATTTGCTTCTACATTTAGCAACATCTGTTTTCCTTGATCAACATTAAAAAATGAAGAAGTAGAAGATCAGAAAACTATAAAGAAAGAAGTCAGATATAAACACATACCTAAAAACAACCTGAAAGCATTAGGCAATTCCCGTTTCTGAGTTGCATAAAATATCTCACGCTTTTCCAAAAGATAAAGCCCTGTATCAACTATTATTGGTTTCAATCTCTTGGACCTATAACAAGTAAATCCCCAACACATAAAACTAATCAACATTCATAAACTAAAACACATCAATTTAATAACCAAAAAACAATATATTTCTTTGAGAAAAGATAGATATATCTCAAAGTACATAATACATATCCTTAAGATAAAGCTATGTATGGGTTGGTTGTTGCATCTGCTATAGAGTTGCTATATAAAACCAATCAAAGAAGACTGAACTGTAACACCAATTCTAACAAAAATATTACTTGGGTTTCGTATCATAATTCCCATTTTGCAAAAACTAGCAAAGTTGAAATGAAGTTAACATACTCTTTCCAGCCGATGTAACTGGTGTGATTCACAAAGTTGAGATCTTTTGGCAAGTATGACAAAATGTGAAGAAGATCTGCAAATTCCACAAATAGCCATAGAAGAAAACCCACATAAAACAGAACGCAAACACTTAGGTCCCAAAAGAAAAAATTTTATTACCATCTTGTGTAACAAGCGGGTAATCACCGGCATTGAGAGAGATAAACCAATCCCAATTTGAAGCCAATCGCACCAAAATGGAGGCACCGTGAAGAGTAGAAGAGATTGTGGAGGATCCTCTTGGGTAAGCATAATCAGCTTTCCCTATAACGTCGACATTTTGGGCAGCTTTAAAAATGCGCACTGATTGGACTGTGATGGCCAATCGGTCACGTTCAGCCTGCGGAGCAGACAGGTCAAGGTGAAGAAGGTAATGATTTCTCGGGTGATAGGAAGCGAAGAGGAGGCGGAGGATCCGAGCCGAGTCGCCGACGGATCCTGATATGAGGTAAGCAATAGAGGGAGGGGTAGGCCCGGAAGGGATCTCGGCCAGGGAGATGGGCCGATTGGGAAAAAGGGCGGGGTCGCGTCGGATTTTGATAAAGGATTGGGAAGAGTAGGTGGATGAAGTGGAAGGGAGAGAGAGGATGAAGAGGAGGGAAAAGAAGGAGGTGGCTAAGATTATGTAAAGACTGGTTCTGGTGTGGTCTTTTGAGAGGATGGTTGTTGCGGTGGCATTAGGGGTAAATGGAGGTGGCAGGGTCAGTTGGTGGTGGTGCATTTTGGTGGCGAGGTTTTGGGTTTGACAGTTGTATCTTGCGTCTTAGCCGTTGGGTCAGTGTGTTTTTTACAATAAGCAATAAGGCCCTGTTTGCTTGGCCAATTCCCAACGGGGTTTACAGTGTACTCCCTACTCGATACAATACCGTATCAAGTTAGACTTCATGTTTAATCCAATTTTTTTTTTTTTTTTTGTTCTTAAACTTGGTTTAAAATGTTAATCAAGTTAGTGGAATTCAAATCGATACAATCATAAAAGAACTAAATAATAGTATAAGTTATTGGTTATAATACCGTACGACTGTTAATATTTTGACTTTAATAAAATTAATAGATCAAATTTATTTAATTAGTAATTAAATAATTATCAAATTAATTTTAATTAATTATAAAAAATAATTTAAAATTTTTAATTAATTTCAATTGATTATCAAAAATAATTTTAAATTTTTTTAATTTTTGACTAATTCAATTCAAAAATTAAATTAATTGAAATTTTTTATCAAAATATAGAAACTCACATATAAAATTAAATATACATGAAATTGAAAATTTCACAATATAAGTTGTGAGAATTTTTAAATTAGTATTTTAATATTTAAAATTTTTTAATAATTTTATTTAATTTGTTTCAAATATAAAAAATTTTTAAATTTAAAACTTAATTTAATTTAAATATATTTTATTATTTAATTAATTTAAAAATTAATCAAATTAAATTTTAAAAATATCTAAATTTAATTCAATCAATAAAAATAAAATAATATAATTCAATTAGTTCAATTTTAAATAATTTGATTCAAAGTTAACTGAATTATTGAAATGAATACCATTAATGCTATAACTAAAAAATTAAAAAAAAAAAAAAAACTAAACAGGATACTTTAAATTTAGAGTTTAGCCTCAAGTTTAAGTTTTAGGGTATGTCTGTGCCTGCTATTGTACTCTCATTAACTGCATCTCTAATTAATCATTTTTATTGAGCCGTCAAAGATTATGAAGGAGCAATCGAGTTGATTTGTCAATGGGAGTAATCGAGCTGCTGGCAGGATTGGTTTCCCTCTCAATGACAGTGATTAACCTCTGAGTAGACATGTTCAAAGGATTATAAATAATTTTTTTAATATTTTAATATTTGTTTAAACAGTGATCAGAGATTTCTTCGAACTGGAGGGGCCAAACCTCGGATAGAGATTTGGAAGGTTCAACGCAATAAGGTTGCATTTAGTACTTTATCATCGACTCACTACAACGTAATATAATTGTTGAAAAAGTTATTGCAGAGAATTAAAATATTAAAAAATAATATTATTATAGTGTTTGATATACATGAAAAAATATTGATTAAAATGCAAAAAAAAAAAAAAAAAACAATATTCGATAAATTAAGCACTTTGTTGAGAATGCAATAAAAATTTCCAAAATTGTTCATTTGTATCAAAGCAAGTTTGATACATATATCTACTTTTTATAATTTGTGTAATTAAATGCCAATTTACAAAAATATTTATATTATAATATTTAATATGTATAATTAATAAAAATAATTATATTATAATATTTAATCTTTATAATCTGATTTAAATATATAATCTTATATTATAAAATTTAATCCTTATTAATAAAAATATTTGCTTTTGATAGTTTTATTATATAATTATTTGTGATTTTAATTATAATATTTAATATTTATAATCTTATATAAACAATTGACATGTGTTTTGCATTTAATTAATTTTATTTAATTTCATATAATATTTCAATGCATTGATTATATTTGAATTATTTTTAAAAAATTAAATTTATTTTTTATTATTATTTACCTTAAATCACTCTCAATTAAATTCATATTTAAGGTAATAAAACTTTAATTACCATCATTATAGGATAATTTTATGTTCTCTTTTTCTAATTGTAATACTCAATTCCTAAATTACATTTGTGTTAAAAAAATATTCACTTTCCGATTTTTTACTCTATGGCTTGTTTATATACTTCACCAAGCTATGTATATATATTTAATATGTATATATATATTAATTTTAAAATGATTAAAAGATGCTCAAATCAATTAAAATTAATTTTGGAATATATCAAACAAAATTAATGTCATTAGCATTATCTTATATAAGATATATAAAAATCAAAACCTTTAGTAAAAAAGAAAATTTTCCAATGTTGTATATTGCTGATATGTAGACAATCTTGAAAATCTTCATGTGTCCTATATTTTTTTTATTTGAATTATTTAAAAAAAAATTAAATTAATTGCATTAATTTTTTGTTACTTTTTACCTTAAATCATTCTCAATTAAATTCATACGTTATCTTATATAAATATATAAAAACCAAAACTTTTGATAAAAAAAGGAAAAAAAATCTAAGATGGGTATGTAGACGATGTAAACAAGTGACATGTGTTTTACATGTAATTAATTTTATTTAATTTCATAAATATTTCAATGCATTAATTATATTTGAATTATTTTTAAAAAATTAAATTAATTACATTTATTTTTTATTATTATTTTCGCTAAATCAATATCAATTAAATTCATATTAAACGTAATAAAACTTTAATTACCATCATTATAGGATAATTTTATGTTCTCCTTTTCTAATTATAATATTCAACTTTTAAATTATATTTTGTGTAAAAAACAATTCACTTTCCAATTTTTTACTCTGACTTATTTATATACTTCACCAAGCTATGTACATATGTTTAATTTGTATATATATTAATTTTAAAATTATCAAAAGATGATTAAATCAATTAAAATTAATTTTGAAATATATCAAACAAATGAATATCATTACCATTATCTTATATAAGATATATAAAAATCAAAACCTTTGGTAAAAAAGAAAATTTTCCAATGTTGATGGCCTATATTATTGATATGTGAACGGTCTTGAAAATCCCCGTGTCCTATATTTTATTTTATTTGAATTATTTTTAAAAAATTTAAATTAATTACATTTATTTTTTGTTATTATTTACCTTAAATAATTTTCAATTAAATTCATATTTTATCTTATATAAATATATAAAAACCAAAACTTTTGATAAAAAACAGAAAAAAAAAAATCCAAGGTGTATGGTCTATTATTTTGAAATGTGGACAATCTAAACAATTAACATGTATTTTTCATTTAATTAATTTTATTTAATTTCATATAAATTTTAAAATATTTCAATGCATTGATTATATTTGAATTATTTTAAAAAAATTAAATTAATTACATTTATTTTCTATTATTATTTACTTTAAGTCACTCTCAATTAAATTCATATTCTCTTTTTCTAATTATAATATTCAATTCTTAAATTACATGTGTTAAAAAAAAAATTCACTTTCCAATTTTTTACTCTATGGCTTATTTATATACTTCACCAAGCTATGATTATATGTTTAATATGTATACATATTAATTTTTAAATGATTAAAAGATGATCAAATCAATTAAAATTAATTTTGGAATATATCAAACAAAATGAATATCGTTACCATTATCTTATATAAGATATATCAAAATCAAAGCCTTTGGTAAAAAAGAAAATTTTCAAATGTTGATGACCTATATTATTGGTATGTAGATGATCTTGGAAATCCTCCCGTGTCCTATATTTTATTTTATTTGAATTATTTTTAAAAAATCAAATTAATTACATTTATTTTCTATTATTATTTACCTTAAATCATTCTCAATTAAATCATATCTTATATAAATATATAAAAGCCAAAACCTTTGGTAAAAATGAAAAATTTGCAATGTGGATTGTCTATATTATTCACATTTGTACGATCTTGAAAATCATCATGTGTCCTATATTTTATTTGAATTATTTTAAAAAATAAATAAATTATATTTTTTTATTATTTACCTTAAATCACTTTCAATTAAATTTATATTAAAGGTAATAAAACTTTAATTACCATCATCATAGAATAATTACGTGTTCTCTTTTTTTCAATTGTAATATTCAACCTTTTAAATTATATTTGTGTAAAAAATTATTCACTTTTCAATTTTTTAATCTATGATTTATTTATTTACTCTACCTTTTAAGTTATATATACATGTTTAATATGTATATATATATATATATATTAATTTTAAAATGATTAAAAGATGATCAAATCAATTAAAATTAATTTTGGAATATATCAAATAAAATAAATTTCATTACCATTATTACACTAATTTTAAAATCCTTACACTAATTTCAAATAACATATTACACCAATATCATATAAAATGAGTTCCATTACCATTATTATACTAATTTCAAATAAAATGAATTTTAATTGTCAAGCATAAATTACTCCTAATTTAAAATACTATTATTGATTTTGATTTGGTTCTTAAATTCATTTTAGTCAATTAAAACTTTCAAAAGTTGTAAATCATCTCATAATTATTTTCAAGACCCATACTATAAATAATAGTGTTTTGGGATGCTTAAGAAATAAATTGCATCCCTACAATATATCTATTTTAGTGAAAAAAATATATACATTTACTTGCCCGAGTGAAGGCCATGTAACTTTGCACCCATTTTTAAATGCAATCAGATTGCTGCTAGTGACGGGAATGTGATTTCCACTGCAAAGTGATAACATACTAAAATATCAAATACCAATCCTGGCAAAGTGATTACGCCCATTTCAAATGTAGGTAATGTTGCTCACTTTCGCAATACCAATCGTCACGTAAGAGCAATCATACGACACCACACGATACACTGAAACATATAATTTATAAATTTATAAATAAATTACTATTAATATTTTTTATTTTATATATACCATATATTTAAAGTTATAAAATTTTTTAAAAGTTCAATTAAGTTAGTAAATCGCTTTACCATATAAACTTTGTCTTGATGTCATTTATTAAAGAATTTTTTTTAGTTTCAATCATAATTAAATATTACATTCATATAATCAACCGAATAATTAATTATTACATCATAATTAAATTATTACTACTAAATAATTAATTAACAAATTAAAATATAATTAAATAATCAAACCCATATATTTTAAAATTTAAACTTAGAATCTCAAGATTTTAAAACCTTCTCCTTCTTAGTAAGCTAAAATCTCTGTGATAATTATTAAAGAGTTCAATATGATTATCCATAGAATCGAGTTAAAATAGTAAACCATGAGTACTTATATATATCTATATATATATATATATATATATATATATATAGATGATAGATAGATAGATAG